GTTGTACAGTTGAGAGATGAGCTGTCATTTCCCCCAACACACAAACCTCAGGGCTGTATCAAAGGTGTGATTGTAATGTGGTAACAAGGTCCCTTGGGAAGGGTACTTATGTACAGTGGCGTTGTTTTGTCAATCAGTAACATCACTGCATGGATTAGAAGAACACGTCAGCAGTGGTATTTGAGTGTTGGTTCAGCCGTTTTCTTTGTCCCGTGAGGTGATACTGATCCTTGCACCAGGAACCAGTATGCTTTTTCTCCCCATTCTGACTTGACGCTAAACATTAATTTTACCGATTGCCTCAGGCTTTGACAGAAATCTTTGTCACATGAGGTGACACTGGTTCTAGCACCAGGAACCAGCATACTTTTCTCCCCAGTTCTGACTCAACGGTAAACATTAATTTTGACACCGATTGCCCCAAGCTTTGACAGAGATCGATCATATTAACATGCACATCCCCCAAAGTGCATCCATTGGAGGTCATCAAGCACCAAGAATGACATGATCCAAGTCATATGTAAGAGGTACACTAATGACGTACTCATTAGGGCATATTTAGTGAATAGACATGAGAAACATGAACTTAAAATGCAACACATGATTAGTACCGAACTACGAAGATGTCACAGTCAGAGATTTTGGTTAATGATTGTCATTCTTAAACAAGGCTTCAGTTTGGTTAGAAACTCTACGAAACATCACCTAGGTAATATTTGAGACATCCCTTCCTTCAGGCTTTTTTTGTGTGCACATACTGAGCAGCGCCTTTTGAGTATTGTAGGAAGTCAGTTTTCACAGAGATATTGTGATACCAGTTCAAGCAAATCCCACAGAAGTGACTTTCAGACATCATGCATTTTGCTGGTGCTTGGCAGGAGGCCATAGCAAAGCTAGGCTACAGCTTCATTGTTGTGCTTGTTGTACATGACAGTAAACAGCCATACATCGATATATGGCTGCAGAAAACAATGCCCCCATTAATTGGACTGGACCTGATGTCAGTGACACCAGGGCATGAACAAGCGATTAGTGTGAGTGTATGGTTTCCCATGTGCAACAGGAAAGGACTCTATTCAGCAATATTGGTGCTTATGTGATTCTTTGGCAGTGCAAAAACAATACTTGTTTGCCTGAAATTGAACTTTTATAATTACACCAGTATAGACATCTTCAATCTTCTTGTTGGACATTTGTGTTATCAGGCCTACGGAGCCAGCATCGCCCAAACACCACAACCTGGGGCGGAGCATCTCAGGTGGCTCTCAGTCTGGCACACTGAACGCTTCACTCCACGAGGCCAACAGTGACGTGTCTGAGATGAGACCATTCAGTCATCCTGACAAGGTGCTGCAAGATGCCTTGAAATTACTCGGCAATGAAGATTGGTGAGCTGGAATGAGTGTTGTTTCAAGCAGCTTCAAATGAAAAGCTACAGAAATGTTAACAACGATTCAAAAAGTGAATGATTCATTAACCCTAACCATGTTGAACCCAACAAGGTTATGCAGGATTTCAATGGTCCCTGGGGGTTAGGG